TTCAGCATGTAACGCGAAGTCTTGCCATGGAGGAGTCTGACAAGTCCGACGATCCCACTCAGCTGATTCTTCGGCGCAAGGGCTTGCGAGAGTTGCAGGTCTTGCATTTCCCACATCGGGCTTTTTTGCGAGTCGTGTCTCTTTCCCACAACGCGCTGGAAGAGTTGGGTCCGATTTCACTGCTTCAGTCCCTGGAGGAATTGAATGTGAACCACAATCGATTGAGTGATTTGAGCCCGGTGGCTTCTTGCTCCATGCTCCAGGTTCTGTTGGCGGCGAATAACAGGGTGACCACTGTAAAAGGCCTCGAAACTCTGCCTCGGTTGAGAAGAGTATCTTTGTACAGCAACCGACTTGAAGACTTGGATGCCTTGATCGCGAATCTGACAGCATTTTCGCAGTTGGCCTCGCTCGACCTTGGTGGGAATCCATGTTTCCAAGATATTGCTCACAAGCATTCAGTTGTGCGTGCCCTGCCTGGCCTGAAAGAGTTGGATGGTGATGTGCTTGCCAACGTCGACCGCCAGCTGGCCGCAGAGTTCTTCGCTTGCGCAGAAGAGGTGGGCCTGGAAAGACGCCCAGGGAGTTCATATGGTCTACGGCCCAAAACGGCTCCCATCGAAGGCCGGTCACAGACGGACACCTCGCCGGCTCCGGCTCCCCAGGTTGGCGCCCGCACCAGGTCCAGCTCTAGGAGGCTTAGGTCTGCAAGGTCTCGCAGCAGCTCCCGCCCGCGATCCGGTTCGCCGGACGTGGTCGAGCCGGTTCCGGCGCCGACGACCTCAGAGAGCCCACAGGAGGATCTAGAAAAGTTTCAAGAGTACACCAAAGCTTTACAGCTGCGTTTGCAGACAACGCAAGTCGAGTGTGAGAACCTCCAAAAGCAAATTCACGGTCTCCGACAAGAAGCTGAAGAGCCGATCTTGGGAACAGCAGCGCTGCGAGAGCGACTGAAAGAATTAGAAGAAGCCAACCAGGCGATGCATGACACAGCTGCGAAGAGCAGACAGATGCGCACAACATTGGAGGCCCGGGAGGCCGAACTCTTGCGCAGGAAACAGGCGCTTGGCGCGCTTGGCAGTGGACAAGAGCGTCCCGGAACAGGCCGGACATTAGCCAGGCCTGGCACAGCGCAAGCAGCGGTTGAAACGATGCTGGTTGCTTCTCAGCCGGCGACACTGGAGGGCTACAAGGCACGCTGCAGCGCCCTGAAGCGCGAGGTGGAGTTTGAACGTGAGCGCACCCTGCAGCTACGGGCAAAGCTTTGCTCCGAGATATTGGGCAGAGAGATCAGCCCACCTCCCAGTAGAGGGTAAAATGAGACTCGGGACATGCTGCCCCGGCGGTATGTACAGTGCAGCAGTCGAGATTGCCACGTAGCGACCCGTCGATGACTCGTCGCTCCTGCACCAAGCGACTGCGGGCCCACTCAGAAAGCCGATGGAGGGATTCGCAGGCAGCATCGAATCGCATGTAGGCAAATACCTTGTGGTTCAGGTGGGCCAGCCGTCTGTCTCCAAGCCAGGACCCTTGGCGGCAACGCGGGCCCCTCAGCATTCTCCATGGGGGCTGATGCGAGGAGCCAGGGCATGTGCTCGAAGAAGCTACTGCAAGGTCCCCGGCTCCTGCAGTGCCTGTCATGGCTCATCAGGCGCTGTGTCTTGTAAGTCTTAGCATGCTTTGGAAAGGCGGTCGGGCGAAACTCGGATTTTCGAAAATAGGTGACCCGTAATTGAAGTCAAAAGCAAACCTGCAGGCCGAGATTCCTCAAATGCTCTTGCCTAAGGATCATCATCGTCCTAGTGTCTACTTGATCGCTGCAGCAACGCACTCAGGCCTAAGCCGCCATCGCCGAAGGGCGAGGAGGTCGTTTCCCAGACGGCGAACAGAAGCCGCACATCCTCGGACGTGGTGCTCGCCTGAGTCTCTGTCAGTGCTGTAACCGGACAACGTATACATCCTCTTCTCAACTTGGGGCAAGATGATCTCGCCCGCAGGGTGCCGTCCCTACTGCTGGGTGTGTGCCCCAAGTTAGGGCCAAGTTGTTTTTTCGCACCTTCAAAGACGAGCGCCCCGGAGGCCCAGTGGGCCGAGTGCCAAAGCAGCTCCAGCGCTCCAGAAGGCCCCCGAGAACCCGATGGGACGACGTCAGCTGCGTAGCTGCGCTATGCTGCGCTTCTGTGCCTCTACATCCCATTTTTCCTTCGCTGCGTTTGCTCCCTCCGTCCATACAATGTCAACAGCGTGCGCCAGGACCCGGGCGGAGGACGTCCAAAGCTCGTTTTGAAGCCTCGTACAGCGCCAGTTCCCCTAGCAGGAACTTAGGATCTGGCGGAGCACAGCTCATGCAGTCCAGTTTCGGAACTGATAGTTAAGGATGCTTATGCAAGAATGCATATTTACCGTCCTGATTTTCCTAGCCGTTGGCTAACGACAGCAAAAGTCCGCCTCCAGTCGTCTTACTCGGGCTGGGGCCTCGAGATGAGAGTAGGGTTTCGGGATGGCTTTCAGCGATACGGCCTGTGCGGAATTCATGCGCTCTTAGCAGGCAGGACTTAATGATCGTCCAGTTCAGGGTCGAGGTAGCTGGTCCTCTTGATGCAGAGGTTTTCGTCTGAGGTGTTCTTTGAGCCTTTGCTTCAATAGAAGACTGCACTACCTTGCAGAGAACACCATTTCAGAATCCGCACGAGCCCACGTGCTCCCAGTTCTAAGGCCCTCTGTCTCTCTACTGCAGCTCGTTGTTGAGGGGCTGAAGGACTGTGATCTTCGGCCTCTGTGTTCCAATGGGGCAGAGCCATCGCAGAGCTGAGCTATCTAACTCAGGTAGTCCAGCCCTTTCACTCGGCAGATCTCGGTTTTCGAAGTGGTTTCGTGGTATTTTGCAAATTTGTCGGGACAGTTGTGAAGATGGCCAGTGGAAACAAACGTCTTGTCGGAAATGTTCGGACGGAAGTTGGTCCGGACAGCGTTGCCATGGAGCGCGGCATCCCTCGCTGCATGCACGAATTGCAGGCTCGTCGAAATTGCTTTTGTAGCATGAGCTTCACATGTTTCCTCCTGCATGAAGGAGCCATTACTCTCAGTGCAATCCTGCATCGCCCTCCGTGGGGATACCAGTGGACTCCGAGCTGCACAGCTACTGGGATAAACATGACGGCAAGTCCTTCGAAGAAAGAAGCATCACCGGAGGGCGGATGGTGGCGCTCAGGCTTGGGCTTGAGGTTGCAGGAAGGATTCCATGTGTTAGATGTGTCGTCCCGACGAGGCGGGTAACAGAAATTGCTCTGAAACTTGCAGCCTTGAAGCCGGACCTTCTTCTGGTCGATTTGGGCTCCGGGCTGAGTCGTCGACCGTCGTTGTGGCAAAACTTTGTGCCCTCAACGCGGGACAGCGGCCAGTGTGTTTCAACATTAAGCCAAGGTTGCGGCACGGGTTTGTTCGCCAAGCTGCTGGGACCTTTGAACATTGTCGGAGTCGATATCTCCGAAGCTCACCTCTGCTTGGCTGGCAAGCATATGAAGGCCGATGCACTGAATCCATGTCCTCCGAGTTCAAACTCGAATCTTGCAGGCTGATCTCGTCTGTGACAGGTCTCGAAGGCAAGCTACTTGGATTGGGTCCCAGAAGCTGGTTCAGCAGCGCCGGATGTGGCTGTGCACAACAACTCCATTGAAGACTACGAGGACCGCATTTTTGCACTATTCAAGTTCTATTCCAATCTCGTATTGGTCGGCAGAGAAGACAAAGGGCAAGTATATGTCAAGCTTGCAAGTTTACAGATTACCGTGTTCTTGGGTAGTTCGGAATCAAGCTGGAACGTTCACCGGGCACCTGCTGAGGCCGTTGTCCAAGTTCATATGATTCCAGCTAGTCAAGAAGACCAGACAATGACCATGGGGGCGCAGTGTTCATGGCAGGAGGCAGTGAAGGGACGCTTCTTCAAGCATGTCTACACTTGGCTGGCCCCTGGTGAGCTACTGGATGACAACTTGACTTGCTTATCTCTTTTGCAGGAGTATGTACTGCCTGGCTGTGCTAAGGTATTTTCTGTTTCAGGCGTACTCGCCCCGGGACGAGCCCATGGGGAGATGCATCCGCGAGTGCTCGCCAAGCTTCGCAGCCCGCCACACAGTCCATTTGTGCGACACAGGATTGCTTTGTCCGTGCCCAGCACCAGCTTTTACCTCGCTCATCCGAGCTGTTGTGTCAGGAGACTATGTCACCCTTGCAGAGCGGGCTGGCTTCGAGGTCGTGTCAACAGAGCTGGTACACAGTGAAGGCCACTATCCACAGGCATCCGCCAGAGCGTACAATCGTGAATTTATCGTGATCGTTCTGCGCAAGCCCGCTTAATTCGCTTGCGAAGCTAGCCGATGGGCCGACGCGGATGGACATCCTACAGAACGGCCAGTGAGTTGAACGAGACGCGCCCAGGGGCCCGGGTCGCCACGGCCGGCATCTCCGCCCGTTCTGGTCACAAGGCGCTTGCGGAGCCACGGAGCCGAGCTAAAGAGCCTGGCGGCCACGACTTGGATGCGCCTCCGAGATCGGCGCAGAGACTGGCGCTGCATTTGCGCTTGAGTGTTTTGGACCTGTGCGAGGTAAAAAGAGCGATGGACAGCTTAACAGGCGTGCGCCATGTAACGCAGTGCCTGCTCGTGACCTATGCCTGCAATTAGAACCTTGTGATCTCCGGCGAAAGCTAACCCCTCGCATACAGGTTACCGTTTCGATATTATCGGGGTGAATCTTGCGCGCCGGCTAGACACCGGCTCAAGAGTTTCTGTTGCACAGGGGTTGTATACTTTTGTACATCCTTCGTCCCCCTGTGCTCGGGGCTCAAGAGTTTGTGCTGTTCTTGCTTGTCACCGCTGGATTTGGAATTGTCCGTGCAAGCACATCGTTGTTTCTGCGTAAAGCTGGCGTGCTTTGTGTTAGGTTGAAGCACTGCGAGTTGAGACATATTCGAGCCCTTCTGTTCACTTCCAGGCCGAGGAATGTGGTCTCCGCGAATCGGGCGCGCAGCCGAAATCTGTCGATGTTGAAACCCCGCAACATATTCTCCAGTCAAACGTTCCACCGGCTTTTTACCTGGTCCTGAGCTGACCAGGTGGGGATGGAGGCAGTGCCCAGTAATAGAGCCGCAGCCCCTTGAACGTCATAGTGACAGAGATGCCGTGTCGATCCACCGGGTTGATGCAGACAAGGCGCGGTCAAGGTGATTTGCCAGAGGAAGGCCACACGCATGAAACGCTGTCGATCCCACTTTCACAGATCGATGCAAATTGTAACCGCCTCGCGCAGTTGATGGTACGTGGGACATCTCGTCCAGCTTGTCCCAGCTTCAACTGCTTGAGGACTACACTCGTGAACGCAAGGGAAATCTGATAAGATGTCTGAGGTTGAGTGCCTGCTTTGAGAAGTACCGCACGCCAGCAGCTGATGTCCCATAGGGCTGCAGAGTTTCATGTTTGGCGGTTTGGTGGTGTGGCGTTTGAGGACGCCGAGCGAGGAATTGGAGTGCCGACGATTGCAGTGCCCGACTCGGCGGATCTCGGCCTTCCCTAAGGGAAAGCGTCAACAAGCGTCCTAAAAAGCGTCAGACGTCGTGTCTCAGGCTGGGAGCCCTGCTGCTCGGGTTGTTTGCAGTGGAAGTCTTGCGAGCGGTGGTTGGGCCTCGGCCTCGGCCCTCGGCGTTTCTCCCCATGGACTGGCGGATTCGATGTTTCGAGGCAGCTGCTTTTCATTCCCGGCCTTTTGGTGTGTTTGGTCGCCCCCTCGGCCTCGGATTTTGGAGTCTTCCCAGGTCTTCGCTAAGTTAGACCGCCCAAGTGCCGGAGGTTGGCAATCGGGCTCGGTGCTCTTTGCGTCCGTGGGATCTTACTCTCTTCGTGACTCTGGCTGCCGTTGTCGCCGTCACGGACCTGGCCCGGCACTCTAGTGATGACATACCCAAGCGACTTCGTCACTTGTCAGGTGAACCTGGTGGCTGGGTGGCATGGAGGTCGGGCACAAAATGCACCGCAACCACAGTCGCTAAGTCTTCTTTTCAGAAATGTTTGCACTGCACTGTTCGGGGAGGCTTTCCGGAGATTGCCGAAAGCTTTAGGCATATTGCAGTGCATGATCGAATGCTTACAGTGGTGTGTTAAGTCTGATCTGAAAGAGGCTGTCTTCCTGCCAGCGTGTTGGAACCACTGGAGACATCTTGGCACCTTTGATTGAGCTGCTCTGCGTGAAAGTCATGGCCTCATTGATTCAATTTGTTTGTAGTCTATTCGTCTGCGCTAACTGACAGTGGTCCGCAGGTAGCCTCAGGGTCGTATCTGAAGGCAGGCCGTTTTGCAAGTTGTCAGCGTAATATTTCTTCTTCGGCCGGCAGTCGCAATGTCCGTTGCTTGGTTTCAGCTTCGACGCACAGAGCTGGCTTATTCTTCCAATGCCAGGCTGAGCATTTGTTTGCCGTCGGCTCGGTCGAGAGAGTTAAGACATGAAGTGGCAAATGTGACATTTTCTTCAGTTGAGGTTCGCGGGTGCAGTTTCGCGCATGTGCACGGTCCAACACTTAACCTTCGCAAAGAACATCCAAGAGTTGTCTGTTCTTCTTTCTGTCCGAGCAAGCAAGCCTGCGAGCCAACCCGAAAGCTGTTTCAGCTGATTAGCAGCGTATTCCTCGCAAACGCTTTCTTCCAATGCCGACGCCATTCAGAGTGGGAGATGCTGTGTTCCTGGAGTGCAACAAGATGACCGTTTAATGCTGTCAAGCCGTAGGTGCAGATGGTGTTAGCTTACATAATCAGAAACCAAGGTACGCGTGGAATCTTTCGACGAAAATGGTAGATCAGAAAGGTCGCGAAATGCAGGACAGAGTTTGCTCTTTCTATGTCTAGCGAATTCGTTATTGTAAGTGGCTCGTTTAGTGCAGTGTACAACTTGCAACTTAGCCCAGGTCGTGTTAGCCAAATTCTGAGCTCTCCGCTGGCGTACGGCAATACTGTGACTTGGTTCAGTTCGGAGGGGCTGAACGTCGTGCTGTGCTGAAGTGCCACAGCAGAAAAGTTGTGTCATCACCCATGTAAAACCAGCGCCCAGCTGCTGGCTAGGTTTTGCCACCTGGTTCCGTGGCTGTGACGTTCTCAGACGAGACGTCGACGCTATGGATCAGTGAAGAGCACGTAGGACGGCTACAAGCGCTTGTAGGTCGAGAGTTCCGGACCCCCCCTCCCCCTCCGGTGCGGTCGCAAAGCGCCAGGAGTCATGCTGCGACGAGTCGAAGCTGCCCCTCGTGCGCATTTTGTTGTGCTCCCGTTGCCTTTATGAAAGACGGTGTGTAGCTATGCATTTACTACCTGCACGAATAGGAGTCGTGCAAGTACCGTCTCGAGTGTGAGCCGTTAGTGGGGCCGCTGGGATCTTTATCCCTGGGATCGAAGAGCAGGAAAGGGATGATTCGGAAGAAGACCGACCATCTGCAGATCGCTGGCCCCAGGCGCTTGCGGAAATTCTGTGTGGTGTCTTCAGCACAGGGTGGTAATGGGCAGGATGCAGGCAAGCTCGGCGTCGGCGGCTACACTTCGCTGTCCTCCATGCAGCTCGGCATGAAATCACATGAAAACCGCGGTTCTGCGACCCAGCTGCCGAGGTTCGGCGCCATGTCCTCCTTCTTTGGGCTGGACAAAAATGGCTTAGCCACGAAGCAGGAAGACTCGAAGGAAGAGTCGGATGGGAAGGTGTGTCGGTGCATTCGTGCTTGGGACACCTTGTGCTGTGAGCTCGTTCAAGCCATGTGCAAGGTGGCCTTTGCTGAGGGGGATGTTGTGGATGTTTGGAACTACGATGCCAGTGCTTGGGATGTCGGCGCTGTTGTGAGCCAAGTGCTCCATGAGCCGCTGTCGCTGGGTGGTTCGAGTCTTCCAGCTGGATCGATCCTGATCTCTCTCAACGGCGCGCTGAGGCTTCGGAATTAGCTGCCGTAGTGCAAATGCAGGGCACAGGCGCAAAGTCATGTCAATGTCAGGTGGCTCACCCCGGATTTGATCAGCTTGGTTGTGCGACGTTCGGATGGTGTGCAGCCGGCTGCCTCCTGTGATTCAGATGGTTCAAATCCCAAGCAAATCGTCGACACTGCCTCCACTGATGCATCGCAGCCGGATGACGAAGATTTGGTGCACAAGTCCTTGTCAACATCGACAGCCGGAAGCGGAAGACAGCCAGATGTCGCACCAGTTGCTCCACCTAGTCCTGTGAATGCCAGCGCCCCAATGCCCTCGCAGTCAAGTGGCGATGTGGCCGATTTGGATGAGGACCAAGCTCCCGTGACTCCAGCCACAAGCACAGGCTCACAAGGCTCTGTCAAGGCTGGGCCTTCGCCCACTCCACAGGCCACCGTGATCGCGACCCTCAAGGTTCCGGATGCCATGGGCCCAAGCGCTGAATTCGACGGCACGCCGGTCTCCAGCCGACACAGCTCCCCGCCGGTCAGTCCGAGAACAAAGGTCCCCTGGCCACATATCATCCTAGGCAGCGGGCGCTTGACAGAGATTCTGCACTCAGGATCAGAAGCCTACTCTCGAGGCTCCACCTGACTATGAACGGAGCAAGCAGCGTGTCCTTGTCGTTGGCCCTGGTTTCGGTCGTGAGCTGAATCCGCAGCAAGGCCGGGGGAAGTGGGGGCAGGGCCGGGCCATGCCTGGACATAGCGAAAACGGGTATTGTAATGCTTTCCCGGAGAGTTTCCCGAATCCTTCAAGGCCAACTGCTGGAATCAGCAGGCTTCCAGGAGCCCTGGATGCGCTTACATGCCCCAATCGCATCATGATGTCGGCCCGGTCTGGAACTCTGCGTCGGGCCACAAGGTACGTTGGGTCTTCGACTTGCCGAATCCGGAGTCGCCTTCCTTCCCGATCCTGCATTACTTGCCAGCTACATGCCGTGTTTAGCATCGGTGAGGCATTGCCAGCCGGCCTCACCTAAACCCTAATACCTCAAGCTTGTGCAACATGTTCCACATGATGATTGGCAACCAGGTGCTCAAGCAAGCCATTGACGAGTTCGCTCCGCACTTGCTCGTTTGCGCCTCCAAAGGTGGCGCCTACGTCACTGCGGTCTGGCAGGCAGGTCTTTGGACCGGGCCGACCTTAATCATCAACAGGCCGGGCTTTGATGTTGGAGACACCCCTCGTTGTGTACTATGTTGATATATTCATCTTGCGGCTGGCAGGCATCCTACATTGACCAGTCTACCCAAAGGCAGTTGGTCTGCAATCTAAGCCAACTACCCGTGCCCAGCAGACGTCGCAGTAGCTTCTTTGATGCGTTGCTGAGGCAGCCGAGTAGTATTGGCGCACGGCTCCAATGATGAGTATTATCAGTACAGAAGAGAAGACCTTGAAGCACTCATGCGCTCAGGCTGACCTCTTTGCCGCTTCTGTGCGTGAGTTCGCAAACGTCTAATCAACCTGCCAGGATCCAGCAACAGCTGCTTCTTGTACTACACTGCAAATAGTGGAGTTCTTGGACGAGGGCACACTCGCCTAGGCGACAAGCACAACATGGAGTGTCTTGGAGGAACAGCTGTATGTAGGTTGACCCCTCTTCTTGGAGTCGCAATCACTCGCCTCTGAGGTCGTTGAAGCTCTGGGACACCCTGCCCCGTCTTTGTGATGCTGCCATGGCTCCAGAGTGCCCCGAGCTGACTATCATGAGATCCTGGCGGTCCATGCTGGCACAGGAGATGATGTTGCCGCGTGCGATGCGTGCGTCCGTGTGGGGGAAGTTGCCAGCATGCCTTCACTTAATGGCGACTGTAGGAGCGACTGGATGCAGAGGACAGATTGAGAACTGGAAGCGGAAGACGTCACTCGTCTTCCCTCTTGAAAGACCCCCGTGCTGTCGAGGAGTGGCTTGGCTACGTACCTGGCCTACGGACTCTGTGGCAGTCGGAGGACCAGAAAGGCTGAAAGATGCTGTTTTTGATTGGATGTGTGACACGGTGGGTGTGGCGTGTGGCCGGACTTTGTGTTTGTACTTGTGTCGCCTTCTCGTTGTGTGTTTTGTCGTGTTGATGTCTTGCTTGAGCTCCTTTAGTGTTGCCTGCCCTTGGGTGTGGCAGGCATGGATGATCAGATACTTTTCGAGGTTCATGCCGAATCCGAAGAGCAACGTGGCAAGCCAACCTAGAGCCTGACCTTGGAAGGTTGCAGCTCACAGATGGGCACACTAGCTGTGTTGGCGCGGCAGTGATTGTCGTCCTACGTCTCAGGTATGAGAAGGTTGCCAGTATCTTCAGGGCACAGCCTGCAGTATCGCGGGCCTACGCAGACTCTCAGCGACAGGTTAGAATGAGATGTACATGCAAATATGTATATATGAGTGACGGCTTTTGTTTGTGTCAATACTATGCTCAAACGAGATGGTTCCTTGCGTTTGTTTTTCGGTCCGAACTCGCTCTAAGAGGGGAACGAGATAGGGGCACCGCATAAAACGAGATCAGGTTCGTTCATGATCAGCGCTGCTACTAACGATACCTGAACGAGATCCAGTTTTTCTGCCAGTACTTGATATGATGAAACGAGATAGGGGCACCGCTTCGAGATACCGCAAGTAGCCTAAGCCTCAAATAAACGCAGTGGCTCATACATACATATAAATAACATATAAAGATACACACATATGTACATATGTATGCATGGTGGTATCCATGCATGTATGTATGTATTTAGTATCTCTCTCTCTCTGTATATATATATATAAATATATATCTATGGGGACAACAGTCCTTTGTCTATATTCATTCATTTATGTATGCATTTCCAAAAGTTAGATAGATATAAAAGATAACCAAATAAATAAGCACACAAAAAGCAAACAAATTAATATATACATATATGTATACGTATTTACATTGTCATATAATTACACTCATACATACATACATACATACCTACATGCATACCCACACATACACACACACACACACACATATATATATATATATATACAGTATATATGCTTACTTCTCCCGGACGACGGACCGTCGTAGGGAAGATGTAGGCGTGGTCAGAAGTAAAGAAGCCGCAGGGTATGAGCAAGGGTGAAAACTTGCGCTTTGTATCTCCAGCCTATCGTCGTTTAACAGTCGTCGTTTTGTTCTCCATAAGCAGGTCGTGCTGTTCATCACGGAAGTTTAACACTGAGAGCACATTTTTTTTTTGAGTTCCCGTTTCTTTAGTGTTGTTCTTATTACTGTCGCTGGTGCCGTAACATGTAAGTAACATGTCTGCCGTACTACGCAATGTTGTTGGTTTTCACCTTGTTTCACGAGCCCCTGTCCCAATCACGCAACTGTCAATGTCATGAACAATCCCGTCCCCACTATTTTTAGACTAACACATCCAAGGAGGAGTGTAAGATGCATCCAGACATTCTGGTAGTTCACCCTTGGCTTGCTGAAGATTAGCAGCATTGTACAAGAACGGAACTCACATTCGGTGTTGATCAGGAAGTTAGCTACGCATTGACATTGGACAAGTTTTCATACCTAACCAAATGCAGTCG